TGTCCTTAATATGGGCTACCCATGGATTGTCCCAATATCATGTTTAATCCTTTTCAATTACTCTGCAATTAAATGAATCCAGTACCTGAATTTTCAATCAGAAAAAAGCTCCCACTAATCACTGACACAACCACTCTCCCCTTCCAAAAAAGGTTTTTTTCCACTGATGCACCCCTCCCTCCTTGGCAAGATGAATAAAAATAGGAATTCAGAAGCTGGCCATGGGTTCAAATGCCCCAACTTTCCTTTCTTGGGTTTGGATGGTTCAGACCTTTTGAAAAATTCAACCCAACCCAAACTTCCCCATCTATTTCTGGGCTGATATCATTCAAAGGGTGGAGAATGACATATATCTGAGCCAGTAATGAGTTTGATCAGTAAGATTCTAAATTAAATGAATGAAAACTCTACATCTGGGCCATTCAAGACAGATTTCATTCAGGGGGAGAAATGATGGAGGATCTATCTCTTTCCTCCTCGCATGAAATATATTTTAGTATCTGACTACAAGGATCAAGATGGGGGATGGGAGTAGCACTGGATCTTGGGACTTGACCAAGTGAGCATATTTGTGCCTAACACTCATATATGGGCCACAGAAAGCCTTCTGGGTCTCAAGAATGAGGTTCAATACAATGTTTATGGGCCCTTGGCAATCTCATATGTAATTGGCAATGCCCAACTGCTAGAGGAGGAGGTTCAAGGAAGATACTAGAAATTCTTGGACAAAGCTTTCCTAGCTGCTATTTTTTTCTATTTTTGTGGCAATTTTATAAGTCATTAATCCTCTCCCTCTTTGACTGAATTTCAATTCCAAGTCTAGGTTCCAGTAATCCTACTGCTAGAAAGATTTCTAAGGACTGTAACAGGTTATGGATCTATAGAACCATGATGCATACATCCTTCATTCCAACATCACACAATCATCAGTTGATACAGTCAATCAAATCAAGTAAATATTCACTGTTAACACATGTTTGACTGTTTTTGTCATTATCTCCTTGGACCTTTGCATTAGAAACTTATCTTCACCAATATGTATGGAATGTAAATAGGTGCTTTTTCCCAGCTATTCCTGTCAAGAATGGTTTCCAATTCAAAAGACATTCATCAGCTCTACAGAACAAGATATGATCCCATTATTGAAGCCCCATTCTATTCAAGAAAAATCATGCTATGGACACCTTTTCTTGCAGTTCCAATGCTGATTTGCACATCCATTCATGCTTTGCATGATCACTACTATTAGATCCAGTTGGATGAACCCCCAAAGTTAGATTAAATTCTCAGGCTCATCACAGAGTCTCAAGTTCCACTTTCCCATTGCAATAATCCAATGACCATGATGGTCACTCCATCTTCATCTAGCTCAACCATGGAATTGGGTGATCTAAATTCAATAATCAATCCTATTTCCCTGCAAGTAATACAGCTCCGGCAGATTCCATACCTCACTCAGATAATGTCCATAATCACTGGGATGAATTTTGGGCTGGAGATGATGATTAGATTCTTGGATTCTTAAATTCCTGGGAAGAAATGGAAGGCCTCAATTCAGAAATAATTCATGATAGAATACAAAATACGGCTAGTTCATCATCACCCCCATCAATAGTTACTCAGAACCACTTGAGTGCTCAGTTTGTTCCATCCCATGAAGTGGAATCAGTCAAAGAAAACATGGTTGAAAGTCAAAACTTGATCAACTCATTAGAAGTTCCTGAAAGAAGCACATCCATGAACTCAAAAACTTCAATGGTTGATTTTCCAGGTAATGAACAAAACTTGTGCTTGCTTCCTTCTTATCATGCTTTGGAAGCAGATTCAGCAACCGTGGAGGATAATCTCACAAATGGTCCACCAAAAAGACAGAAGATGCAAACCCCTGGTCATCCAGATGGTAACCATAAGCTTCAGAGATAAGCTTCCAAGAAGAAAAGCCCTTCAGAAATATTTAAATACACCCCCATGATTTCCAGAACTCCTGAATCCAGCTGCAAAGTTCCACTCACAAACCATGAATTTGATCCAAAAGTTTGTGGAATTGAAGGTGCTTCAGCTCTTGATGAATATAGAATCAAAGAAATCATCTCCATCATCACAGAAAGAGGTCCTGGTAATAGACTGATGATGATTGACATCATAAGGCCAGATTATGCATCCAAGCTTTTTAGAAGAGCTGCTTCTTGTGGGCCTGGAAAGAAAAATGAAGGTAACTCTCAAGGTAAGAATTTGTTGGGTTGGGGAAGAAATTGAATTAGAGAGAATTTAAGGACAAGAGCAATCCAAGAATTTTTCTCCAAAATTCAGTCCTGGTCCAGATTTTATAAATAGAAATCTGGGATTGAATTCAATGATCTCAATCTCAAGTATCATGGGATGATCAAAACTGAGGAGCTTGAATTACACTACCTTTTATACTTTTTTTATATAGATATGGTTACTTCCATCATTGTTCTTCAGAGAGATCCAACAAATTCAATCTAGTAAGGATGAATAACAAGGATATAATCCAACGGGCAGCAATGAATTACAAGTTTTCTATCAAAGAGATTTCATCATTCCATATTTTGTTGAAAAATATCCTCACTAAAAATTCTTCTTCACTCTTTTTTCATTCCATTTTTTGCTACTCTATCACCAATCTAAGTAAAAGAATTTATGAAGAATACAAAGACCTTTGAAGTATAAATATCATACAATCTATCTCTTTTTTTTTTCAAATCATGCAATGTTTTCTTCATGCCTTCTTTTGAATAAACTTCCATCTTGAAGTTTGATGTTTACACTTTACATTTTCATTTAAAAAAACAGATTTATTGGGCACACCAGAGGTTTTGCCTTGTTGTTCCAACCTGAAAAGGCTGTTGAATAAATCAAAATTCAAACCATATTTCACAAGGACTCCTCCAGCTGGCAATTTCTTTCCCAAAATAGCAAGCAGGACTCCTTTTCAAATATCAACTGCCGCAATACTTTCATCAATTATTCAAGTGTTGGATAATTTTGCATGAATTTGGGTGATTTTTTTTGGATGATATCTCTGGGAAAACAAAATAAAAAAGATGATTCATGATGTTAAGAAACTTGAATAAAATCTGACTGCCCTGATGGCAGTTGAAATTCAAAATGACAAAGGCCGGCACCTTTTTTGAAATTAACTACCAAACTGCCACCAGTGGAGTGAATAATTATCCCATTGGTATATTTTTGGCTGATTTAAAAACAAATTAAGGACTATCTTGAGTAACAGGTACGCAATAGGGGGTATCAAAGATAACCAAATCCACCATAATTTAATTGACTGGTTTTAAAAAATCCACCCTTTTTTAAACATGTTAGTTCTTTATTTGACCCCTTTTGGGGCCCATTTATGCAAAAAAATGGGAAAAGTGACTGGTTTCTAATGGTGGATTTCCTATATTTGATACCCCTAATCTGTAGCTAACTATAATAGAAAAAATACATCTGTTCAAATTCCTTTAAAAAGATTCCTAGATTTTGATGCACAATTCAAATTGAATATATTCAATTAGTGTGATACCAAGTGGCTATAAGGAAAGCTGCAGTATCTCTGAGAATTTCAGCAGATAAAGTAGAATCTCCAAAGTATCTGATTAATTGAACTTGAACAATTCCAAAGCAATCAATATTTTGTTGTTTATCTTGATCCCAAGGAGCCATGAATCCCTCCATTTTGACATTCCCTATGATGGGTTTACTGTGTGGTGGATCAAATATCATTTGATGTAACCACTTAAATAAGTTTTTTCTCATTTCTGACTCTTCTGGCCTATTATTCAAAAATTGGATATGGAGATGTTGTAAGATTTTTAGCAATTTTTTCATCTTAGTAAACGTCTCATCCTCCCTGAAGTAACTTCTGTCTTCAAGACTGAAAATTCTGAGGATACCATCACCATTTTTTTCACTATAGAGGCACACACAAATTGGTAGTCTTGGATGAATTGTTCTGAAGGTTGGTTTTCTTGATCCCTTCCCACAAGTCTTGTATATCCTATGAAAATCATTTTGAAAATCTGAAAAAGATTCCTGTACAAGCTTGTATCCTCCTTCATGACCAACACAAAACCACCTGTGTTTTATCAATCTATCTGGATCCAAGCAAAGATTTGAGATATATGAATATGTCCCCTTGAAATTAGAATTGGTTTCTATTTCAAGTAGGTCTTCTTCAATAGTTTTTGCAGGATCTCTTAAGGCTGAATAATCAACTAATTATTGAGAATAACAATTTGTATGGTCCAATATTATTTTATAAAATTTTTAATTAGTTTACTCTCATCAAACAAATGTAATTTCCAAATTAACTTCCTCCAATTAAAACTAACTTACTTTTGTTTGAATCTTGATACTGTTTTACCAGATAAATACCAATACTTCTTGCAAGAATTATGCTGTGTGTTTCATTTGAAAAGTAGTTAAAAAGGGCTGTTTGAATAAGAATCAGAGAAAAATTTTGATGGCTATCTTGTTGGACAGTGAGATTTTCTGGTGCTGAATTTATAGATATTGCACCCATAGTGAGAAAGGGTGCAAGGATTTCCCTCTCCATCCACTTCAAGAACATCATTTGATGAGCTTTGTAGGAAGATATTTTTACATTATAGTGACTCAAAACCTTCTCATGGAGATCATAACACCAGGCAATCAAGAATTTAAAATTCAAGATTAAGGGCCATGTGTTAAGCTTTTTTTTGTATCCCTCTTTATTTGAATGACTAGTTTGGGTATGCATTTGTGATGATGGTGGTAGACTTGAATCCACAGATTTCACCATTTTGTGTGCATATTTGTAATCTTTTAGATTCTTCTTATCCTCAAAGAAGGACAAGTAAAATTCTTCAAGTAGTGGTTCATAAAGGTTTCCCCTTGCTGAGATACAGACAGGATGGGCCAGGTTGTATTGATGTTCTAGCTGATAATCAAATTCCCCTTCTTTTGTCTTCACTTCAGGTTTGAAATAACTTCCATTGACATCATTTGACAACTGATCAAATGTAGAATGATACATAGGTTGACATTGGTTCAATTCACTATGAACTATATTTTCACTTGGATCCATCAAATCCACTGCTTTTGTTTTTTTGACTTGATTAGTATATTTCATCATAAAGAAAAGCAATCAAACTCACAATAATCCAAACCAACTCCAGCATGGGATGCAGAGGGCTGGGGTATTAAATCTGGGCTGGCGGTAAACATTTTCCGATGGCTGTACTTTTGTTTCTTTGCAGATGCTTGTGTCTCCCTAGACTCATGTTGTAAGGAAGTTGACATTGGATTGATAGACGAGAAGGGTGAAGGCCGCTTCAGGTTGTGCGGTGCACTTTGTGTGGCCGTCCATTCGGGTTCAAATTGCGCTGGAGAAGAGGTTGCAGTTGTTGGAGGGTGTGCTTCAAAGAGTTTCTCAGCAGAAAGATGTTTCTCAGCAGTTGTCCAAAGTTTGGGATCAACTTTCATTGAGGAGGTGATAGCAGAAGCTGCTATGAAGTACCATGAGATGGAGCGCCATAGGAAATAACGGTGAAGAACACAATGATAAATCCTGATCATGTTGGCATATATGTATGGCGGAGGCCATGAGTGCACCCGACACTACCAAAATCCTTATAGTCTTATATGACTGTGAGATGGTAGACCGATACTTTCTGTGAAACCGTATTGGTTGATGGTCCACTTGCCGAGTCCTGATAAGAAAAAATTGCGCCGACATGACCCGCATCTCCGGAAGAGCCATCAGATGTTGGGTTCACCCGCGAACTTAACACAAGTCCCTATGAGGAGGTTTTGCCCAATTTGAAAGGTCACGAGCAACTCCTCGAAGGGACTTGTGATAAGTATGGTTCACCGAGCACTTCCCACCGCAATTTAGATGCTCATCTAAATCCTGAACCACCTGCCCTCTAGTTCCCCGCAAAAAAAGTCCTTTCTAGATCCGAGTTTCATCCCCCAATGATAGAGAAATAAACAATGCAATTGCAATTGAGAATCAAATCAAAATCACGCGGGGTAAGTCTTCTCCGCTTGACAGGCCGGCACCCCACACGGTCACCCCAGAACCAGAGCGCATTTCATTCAAGATAAAGTGGCCGCCAAAAGTATGATTAAATGTAGAGTGAAACCTGTTTGTGGGCATACCTTTCTATAACTGAGTAAGTCACCTGAAGGCATAAGTGCTTCCACCAATGATTGATGCTGCTGCAAATGCACTCCCTCTAAGGGTATGACGTATCTGACGGTATATATAAAAAAACGTTTCCCCCAAGGCCAGGGGTCTTGGATAGCTTTGACCGTATGAAGAAACAACCCTTACCTTCACTGACCAACAGATACAAGTTATCCTGGTAGGATACACATGTCATTCGGAAATGCTTGTCCTTTGGCACCTCAACATAGCCTGGCTTAGTTGTTCTATAAAATCACACAATTGTGCGTTTGCTCAGGACCTGGATTTGCAATTCAAGCAGATAGTGAAAGCCTAAATTCCTGGGCAAAACTCCACATGGCTATCAGTTACCCAGTGAACACACATGTCGGTATTGTTATTGATTCCCTTTGTTCTCATTTGGTTGCAGTCATCATATATTTTAGAGATTTCATCTCACAAAGCAAAAAGGTAAACATTTTGATGAAAATCAAGAGAAAATTCTGACCAAATCAAAGGATGATAGAAGATTATGAGAAGAAGCAAGGAAAAGAATAATTTCACAAAAGAAGAAGGGAAAAAAAATAGAAACTCAATGACGGCATCAAAGGGGAAAAAAATGGAGGAGGTGTTTTTATTTAAACGGGCACGATTTTGTCTAATTTATTGGAGATTTTGATCTTCTTTTTCTCTCTTTTCTCCTCAATTTTTTCCAGAGCCGCCTGAATGCGAGCCTCTTCATCAGTGGTATGTAGGATATTAAACCTGCCGTTTTCGGAGTCGTCGAGGGGAGCGAGCCAGAGGGGCAAGCTGGTAGAAGTGCCGGTTTTAAGATGGACGGCCTGGATATTATTCCATCCACCGAGGGGGATTTTCTTGCCCAATTGGCCGAGGACGTCGACGAGATTGAGTTTGATTTGCTCGGAGGAATGGCGGGCAAGGTCGGCGACCTTGATCGTCAGACAGCTCCCGCCGCCGATCCGCAGCGTCGTGTTCCCAATCGTCCGTTCCAACTCGCCCTTCAATCCGTCCTTATTCGTCACGTCTACCGCTATCGGTAACTTGTTTGTCTTGAAAAACTTCACCCCTAACAGCTTCGGTAACACCCCGATCACTCGGTCATCCGCTAGGAATAACGCATGATTGTTCAACAATAATCGCCGGGCTTCATACGATGAATGTTTCCCTTTCAGCTTCTCAATCCCTCTGCACAACCAAAGTCAATCAGTCTCTTGAGATGTAGGGGGGTGGGGGGGATTCAGCGTTGTGAAATCTACATACATCACCTTGGAGATGAAGTGGATCTTTTTCTCCTCAAGTAGGTCTTTATATTCCCGTTGAGGATCTTTGACGATCAAACAAACCGGGCTGACTCTGGGGTCATAGAGAGGATGAGAGAGAGTACTACCAGAAGGAACGAACAACAAAAACTTAATCAGCTCATGAGCAGCTTCCGTTGAGTTATAGAAAAAGGGAATAGAGCTTACATCTTGATCGGCTTGTGTTTAGGTTTAGGAGTGATCCGTTTCAAGCTGATGACGAGGTTCAAGAACCGCTCGTTGGAGCCAACCTGGTCTGCAAATAGTTCGCCCTGCTCGATATTCTTTTCGACTGATTTGTTGGAATGGTCGATGAGCGCTTTGATGGCCTGTTCTACTTGAGATCGTTTGATGAATGGGACCTTGCTCGTTAGTATCTCATCATCTTCTTCCACCTTCTTACTGCTGGTCGTCGTGGTCGTATTTGATGATTTGATTTTCTTGGTTTTCGTAGTAGTTGTTGGTGTTGGTGTTGGTGATGTTGTTGGCTTCTCAGTCAAGGCTTCTGAGGTTCTCTTAAGTGATTTCTTGCCCATGTTGTTCGATTTGACTGTTGAAGTATTTGGAAGACAGATTAATGTTTGTTGGGTGGTTTGTTTCTGCTGTGAACAGTCCTTCTGACTGAAAAAAATAGGTGAGCTTGAGTATTTTGAATTATTCAATATGGGGTTTCCAGTGGTGAATACCATAAATGTCACACGTGGTTTCACCGGAGACACAGCAAGTCAACAGTCAACTTGCAGGATGAGTAGTTACCGAGACCGAGTCAACGAATTCTTCAACTGGACTAACACTCAACAGGCTCACCTCCACCCTCAACTCAGACTCAGGACGACCACCACCACCACCATTACCACGAACAAACAACAGGACTACTCCATAGAACTATGCCCATCCGAACAACAACTGGATATCATCCCTAAGGACACAACTGGTATCTCATCTCATCTGTCTCTCTGTGGAAGAACTAGTATTTACATGAAACTGATTACAACTTGTTTATTTAACACAGTTGCCTCGATCCCTAAACGCGCATGTTTCTCACATCGGACATCCTCTCTGACCAACCTAGACTTGAGCTTATTATCATCACTGCCCATCGATCAACAACCCGTCATCCGACTGACCATCCATCTGATCCACGAGCTCTCGCTGGGAACCCACTCACCATGGCATCCCTACCTCGATCTCCTCAGCCATCCCGAGCACCATCAGCCGCGATTGATCCACTTACAAGTTGACGAGCAACCGGAGATCCAACGCTGGGTTCGTGGCACCGAGATCGAGCGACTGCTGAAGGCCGGCCGGATCATCTCGCTCGCCCGGCTGCACGAGATCCACGAGAATCTCGCCAAGACATCCGTCTGGGAGACCTTCCTGATGGCCTTCACCATTGTCTCCAGTCGGGCCTTCCAGATCGATCATTACCACCATCTCGCCCTCGTCCCTATCGCCGATCTGTTCGATCACTCCGACCAACCTGACGTCGAGATGGTCTCCGAACCGTTCGTCTGTGATCAATGCGGCGCAGTCGATGAATGTATACACGATTCTAAAAATCTTATCCAGCCGATCGAAACTACCCCTTCGATCAATCAGGATACCATCGATATGGTCACCATCCATCCCCTCGTCCCTCCAACTCTCGATCAACTACAGGTATCAAATCCGTCTTCTGAACATGAAGAAGAACCCCTCCCAACGGTGTATAATACCTATGGGAAACTGCCGAATGCCAGGTTGTTGGCCGAATACGGGTTCATGATCGATGGCAATACGCACGACAAACTGCACTTCGATCTGGATGAGGTGAAGATCGGCGGGGCGGAGACCGAAGGCAAAGCAATTGGCGCCGTGTTAGGCAGATTGATGGGCATCGGTGTGTTGGATAACAGGGTGTACGATGAGTTGGTCTGCGAGTTGTCGGAGGATACAAGTCTGAGCGATCTATCGATGGATTCGAATGCTAGACTGTCACCTCATCTCTGGCTGACTATCGTCTTCGAATCCTATCATCCCACCCCCAAATGTCCCATCCTCTCGGCTGAGATCGTCACCCGCCTCCTCGCCCTCCAATCCTCCATCTCCTTCCACCTCCATCACTCTGCCTCCCTCCCCCCAATGGACTCCTCTGAAACTGATCTCTGGGCACATCTCGTCAGGATCGCTTCTCTCGTTCAGAAAGTCTGTGCGAAGCGACTCGGACGTTACTTTCTTTCTGAGAAATCAATCGACGAACTCTTGACTCTTAAAGAAGTCAGCTTCCAACTCATTTTTCTTCTTCTCTCTCAGTTTCGTAATCAAAATACCTCACTGACCCCCCTTCTTTTGATTATGATTATTCAGAGCTTATTGATCGACTATGAAGATCCGGAAAACATTGAAGAAGAAAAACACGATCCATTGCCTTCAACACAACAAGTCACTAGTCCAGGAAGGTCGATTCCAAAAGAGACCAAAGAGAAAGCAGAGACAAAGCAGGAGGCAAGAGGAGGCGGAAGAATACAAGTCGGAGGGAGGAAAGAGAAGAGAGAGACGTTGGCAATGGCCATTGAATACGTTTGTTCGGAACGGATCTTGTTGAACACTTGTATCTCGTTATGGAATGAACTCGAAGATGCTCTTTCTCCTTTTACTTCTTCCGCTTCTTAACCTTTTATACTGTATCCTTTCGCAACCTTTTTTTTAAACATTTTTTTTTTTTGGATATGTGTGACCATCTATCTCATTTCGCTTTTTTCCTTCTCCTGGGGTCATACTCTTACTACGTAGTAATTAGCGGGTTTGAAACCAAGTGTCATGAGAGAGATCAGACTGGAGGTGGTTTTGGTTTACTTTGTACAAGAAAGAGACTTGAGCCCAACTAAACAAAGTCATTGCCGAGCGTCCCCTGTTCTTCAAAAATTGAGGAACTTGATCAACTGGGAGGCAATCACCAGCGGTTTGTAAGCTAACAATAAGCTAACAATAAGCTAACAAAAATACGATATTTTTTAATGCAATCATCAAGGCAATCAAGCCACGTAAACCCACAGGAATTCTAGCATCGGGAGCCACACTGCCACACCGGCTATTTCAACTCCAGTCTGTCTCTTGAGGAAATTGGTTTACAATGGCAAAATCTCTTGGTTTTCTGAATTTTCTTATCTACAATAGTAACCTTATGCCATCTCCACGCCTCACGGCATAGCGCGATATATTTAGGAAGCTCATTTCAGCCACCCCATGTTTGTTTATGGACAACGGTTGTCTGATTCTCCGCCCTACTCTCTAAACAATACAATCTTGCGCCGCCGGATTGTGCGGACGGACTTTCACTGATCTGTATGTCTTTTTTGATCAAGAGGGGGCGCAGTTTAGGCGAACAACTGTGTTTCCAAGAACAAAGGTATAATAATCTGGGGGTTGCCACTGATGGATCCAACCAGCTCTTTGTGTCAAGATCTTCTGTTCGCTCGTCTTCAAACCTCAAATAATTATAGCACGTCGGATCCACTTTTCTCTGATCGATAAAAAACCATGTTCCTTCGGTACTGGAAAGACA